TGAAATCCTGAAGAAAGCCCCTATACATGCCCATCTGAAGTTTGCCAATGAACATCTGAATGATTCAGAGGACAACTGGGTGAAAGTGTTGTGGTCAGATGAGACAAAAATGGAGCTCTTTGGCATCAACTCAACTCTCGTGTTTGGAGGAGGAGGAATGACCCCAAGAACACTATCCCCACTGTCAAACATGGAGGTGGAAACATTATGCTTTGGGGGTGTTTTTCTGCTAAGGGGACAGGACAACTTCACCGCATCAAAGGGACGATGGACGGGGCCATGTACCGTCAAATCTTGAGTGAGAACCTCCTTCCCTCAGCCAGGGCATTGAAAATGGGTCGTGGATGGGTATTCCAACATGACAATGACCCAAAACACATGGCCAAGGCAACAAAGGAGTGGCTCAAGAAGAAGCACATTAAGGTCCTGGCGTGGCCTAGCCAGTCTCCAGACCTTAATCCCATAGAAAATCTGTGGAGGGAGCTGAAGCTTCGAGTTGCCAAACGTCAGCCTCGAAACCTTAATGACTTGGAGAAGATCTGCAAAGAGGAGTGGGACAAAATCCCTCCTGAGATGTGTGCAAACCTGGTGGCCAACTACAAGAAATGTCTGACCTGTGTGATTGCCAACAAGGGTTTTGCCACCAAGTACTAAGTCATGTTTTGCAGAGGGGTCAAATACTTATTTCCCTCATTAAAATGCAAATCAATTTATAACATTTTTGACATGCGTTTTTCTGGATTTTTTTGTTGTTATTCTGTCTCTCACTGTTCAAATAAATCTGCCACTAAAATTATAGACTGATCATTTATTTGTCAGTGGGCAAACGTACAAAATCAGCAGGCGATCAAATACGTTTTTCCCTCACGGTAATGTTTAAATACCATCGGACGAACCGCCTGTCCGCCATTTTGAAATTTGTCATATATTGTAATATCTTTTAAAATATTTTACATATTGGCACAAAATTTGGTAGGGGTCATTCATAGCATGTCCTCTAGTGACCTGAGAATTTTGAATGCAGTGTAGTGTTCTAAAGATGTAAGGTTTTTTTTGTAATAACACATAACTTTTGAAAACATTGTCCAAAATTAGTTTTTTTGGTGTCGTTACATGAATGGCACACTGTGATAAACAGCAAGCGTCAATTCTAAAGGGCCTGGGTTTGATTCCTGTGTGGTGCAAGTTCTTAAAGGTTTGTGCAATGTGTCTTTCGGTTCCTTTTTTTTTTTTGCTCAGCATTGCACTAACCTTTCAACCTCTTGGCATGCAAATAAATTCCTCTGTTCTGTTAACTTCCTGTTCAATCTTAATTTCAGCTGTGAAATTTTTTATAATTTCAGCTTTGCTTGCTATATTTTATTCATTCATGTACATTCTATTTTTCCACTTCAGGCTCCACATTGCACTTGCTGCATATTTGGTGCTTGGCCCCATTAAACGCTGCTTGCAACTTTAATTCTATATGATTTTCAGAAGCAAAGAGGTGTAGATTTGCTGTCATTTAATCTTAGAATCTTTGCCTGCAGCTCCTGGAGGGACTGATACTTTTGTACACTTTTCTGGCCCCATGCTTCAGAATCTTCAAGGTTTCAGTGTAATTGGCTCACTGCACATTTCTCCAACTTTTCAACTGAAGGACATAATAAGCTTATATGAGTAAAATATAGTTATGGGATTAAAAATGTTACAGTTTTATATGAAACGGTGGAGGGTAAATGTGATTCCTTGTTTCCAATGCAAGTTCCAACACCCCTTCTTGTGAAAGAAAGCTGTTCTAGTTCATGTTTAGTGATGAAAGTTATGACACTCTGTAGCAAAGCTTGGAGTCTAGCTCATGAGACTAAAAGAGAAATTATCACTCCAAACCTAGAAATGTAGCAGTAGCGAGTGCTTCTGGATGGAATCATGTCTCCAGTGCAACTTTAGGTTTGACAGTTTTATAAAATATATGAGCACAATGAAAAATGCTTAAATAAAGTATGCTTTTCTCTGTACATACCACACTAACTGCATTAGCAGACAAATGTTGAGAATGTGTGAAAGAAGCCAGATGACAGTAGGCTGAGTAAGGAATAGAATAAGAGGCCAAATAAGTCATTAAAACAATATAGGAAGAGGTTAAGGTGGAGAAGGAAGGAATGAAGGCAAGGAAGGGAGTTTTTGAATTTAAGGTCCCTTGCAGGTAACTCCCTTTCCTGATCCTGATTAAAACTATAGGAGGTAGAAATAGAGATTATCAGCATCGTTTTTTCCAACACTGCCAGTGTTAAATTTCCCATGTTACTTCTCTTTCACCACATACAGATTCCATAACAGCACTTTTGGAACATATGGGGTTTCCGAAACCTTGATTCATTATTCTGTATGCTTTAATATACAACTCTGACACATTTAAAGATCTGATCAGTACTTGGCCTACATTTTCTAATGGTGTTAAGCATCTATGTAAGTGTTTCACGATTGACAGCATGGAAAAGTAAAAGCAAGCATATAACAAGCATATAACTCAAGTCTTTGGCTCAGATGAGCCAACATGTTCCTCTGATTTTTAGTGCCAAATTCTCAGATGATGAGCCAGGTTGTTATTATAGCTATCTTGGCTACCAGAGTGTGAATATAAGTAGATGTATGGCCTATGATCAGAGTACTATACCTCTTATTTAGCCTTATATATGGGGAGATCTTTGTTCTATGAAAAAAAAAGCATATTGCCAAGCTATATAAACAATATTGTTTTGTTCTGCCTCTCTATTGTAACAAAGCCTCGAGCATCACAAACCGTAAATGGCACTAAGGAAACGCCAGCTCCTTGTTGTGCTTTACAGCAGACTGGTATGAATTCCCCTCCACTTTTGTTATAACCAAATTGAAGACCCCTCACCACAAAGGGCAACTGCAAAATGGTCTCTGTCTCCAGAGGAGGAGGAAAAGACGCTGAAAGCCGGAGCACAGCGGTTTTCCCCGTGAACTTTTCCCCTCGGCCACATGTAAGCGTGATCAGAGAACTTACAGAGCACCACGTTGTTTTCTTTGGAGCATCGGGGAGGGTTCCCCACAGACTGACCAGTATAGTAACATGATCCCTTTTTAGTGATGATAGTTCAAAGTTTGCTGATGAATTGAATGAAGTCCAATGTGTTCAGTCAGCTAAATGTTCACCAAGCTCTTGTTAGATCTTCAAGGGAAGGGTTGCAACCTCACACCAAAACCTCCAGAGAACAAGTGAAAAATCCCAGTTCTTCTGTATTATGTCTGAGTCATGATAGTTATTATTTTACTAAAAACTAACCCTAAATCCCTCTACTGCTCTTCTGTCCCGCCAACAATGCTGTCCAGGATAATCCAGGCCTGCTGTTTTTTATTCATTCAGTCACTATATGGAGAGCTCCTTTGCTTTCTCTCTGCTCACTGCCATTTAATAGATATAAATCATGCATACTGTGTTCTCAGGAAGTATATTTATCTGCGTATGGGTTGTGATAATGTTATAGACATCTTAGTTAAGGAAGAAATGTGAGCTGGCAGCACACACATGGCATGCACATATTCAGAATTATTTAGCGTTCTGGTCCAGGGGTCTTGTAACAGGAAAATCCCGAGAATGGGGTTCAATGTCTGTAAGGTCTGCTGTGGGGATCTGGGGGAAATGGGATGGGGGTTGGTCTTTGAGCCAAAATAAGATGTATTCCATCTGTGTGCTCTTAAGGCGATAGTGGGGTTGAACCGATGGAAAAGAAACAAATGAATGCTATGTGGAAATGGAGACAGGGATCGGGGTTTACTGTAGCCAGGGTTGTCCTTTTGAAACACCAGTCCCAGATGTCTCCATAGAAGGAGAATAACACTGCTCAAACAAAAAACTAGTCCCAAATCTTAGCTCAGGAGAAACAATTGTGCTTCCATGGTCTGTGGTGTGATACTGCCTAGATTTGAAACATTTATCATTCTTATCATGTTTACTTCTGAGATATACAGTATTTGTGAGAATTTGAAGTCAGGCAGCAGCACGGTTCTTACTTTGTGAATCACATCAAGATGTGACTAAAATATTTGCTCTATCAACAGTGAGCTTTTGGAAGATCTGGAGCGAAGCCCTCATGCAGCAGCTATAGCTGAATGCTTTGTGGAGAGGGTAAGTAAAGAACAGTGAGGTCATGAACTTTTAAATGATATCATTAATACAGAATCATTTGCATGTAAATCTGTAACATGTCACATGATCCTACAAACAGCAAAGAAAAAAATATTTTTTATTTCACTGCCACAACAAAGTAAGAAAGAAGTCTATGATTTAAATTGTCTTAAAATGTTTTATGTTTCCTTGGAGTGGTGAAATTGCTTTTATTCAAACACAGCTTGTTGAACTTGTTAAAAAAACAGCTGTGTGAATGTGCCATGTGTAGCCTGGCAGTGTAGCAGCGGCACAACAGTGGAATATTGTCTGTGAGGTATTTGTGTGAAAGACAGATGGGCTTTGTGAATGAATCCCAAACATATCAGCAAATGGTGCTGACCTTTGAACATGCGCATGTGTGTCAACTGAGGGAGTTTTCAGTCCCTTTCACTGACACACTCCACTCTACAGGGACAGGCTAATGACCAGACCTGGGTGGCATGGGAGGACAGACAATGCCATCTTTGTGTTTAGTGAGGAGTTGAATATGTCACTGATGTTTTTTTTCTCTGTATTTGCTGTTTTCTGATGATATCAGCCTCTCTCCCAGGATTTAAGGCCACATTTTCTTCTTGCTGAATGGAGCACCTTTTTTTGGGATCAATTAGTGTGTAGTTAAGGACAGTACATTGGATTAAACCATTATCAGAGGAAAAAAAAGTATTTTTATACAAAGAAAGAGTTCTAAGCTAGAGAGCTTAGCTATCAAACTTTAAATAAATCACATTACTTGGCAGACACCCTTCTTCAAAGCCAAATACTATTATCTCATTTATGCAACTGAGGACTCAGTTGGCCCAACAAGGGCCCAACAGTGGCAGCTTGGCAGTGCTGAGGTTAGAACTCACAACCTTCCGATCAGAAGACCAACATCTTAACCGCTGAGCTACCACTTCCCTAATTAAAGTGCAAATCCAATAAGATTAAATGCTTAAAGTCTATAATCTGGCCAGTTCCAGTCCCCAGTTATGAAACACAGTATCCAAACAAGGGTGGCAAGGTAGTACCTTACAACTCATACCTCCAGGGTTCCTGTTTCAAACCTGAGCTTTGGTTATTGTCTATGCAGAGTCTGTGCATTCTCTGTGTGGGTTGTCTCCAGGTTCTCTGGTTTCTTCTCACCTCCCAAAAACATGCCCATAGGGGGATTGGCTGCGCTAAATTTCCACTAAGTTTAAATGTGTGTATGCATGGTTCCACGCTATGGTTTATTTCCACATAAATATTCAGTGTTCCTAGGATTGGCTCCTAACAGCATGAAGTGATTACTGAAGAAGAATCTATTAAGTAAAGGAATATTTTAGGATCAATTAGTTTTAAAAAAAATAGAAGTACATACCAAGTACATACCAGTAGCAGTGGCTATTTTAGGACCTTATTTGGACTAATTTGGCCTTTTCTCAGGATCTCAGTGAAAGAATATCAGACAACAGTATTTTTCCAAAACAAAGATTTCTGAAGTGAGCATCAGGCTCCAAATAAAGCACAAATCAGACATGTTTACATGCTTGAACAGAAGCCCATTTGTGGCCATCAGTTCCCAGTTATGAAACACAGTATCCAAAGCAGATTAAGGACATCACGTAATTATTATGTGATGATAAAAATAGTGTATGTGGGTAGCACTGGTTTACATTTTGATACAGGGCTCCAAACCAACAGCAGCGTGATTGCAGGTTTGTGTCCTAGATGGATCATAAGATCTGCAGCTGAAGATCCCAACCATTAAGCTAATTGCTGAACCCTATAAGTTGCAATAATGACTCCCATGTTTCCTCTGCCAATTATCCACCCTTCTGAAAATCTCCAGTATATGTTTGTATGAGATATAAGTAGTTTTTAAAGTTCAGCTATATGGTCTGAATATAGATATTAAAATAGTCAGACAGTTGTGTATTTATTTGTGTAATAAATGTATTATTTTTTTCTGGTTTAGAGTGAAGCCTTTGACATTTACACCATTTACTGCATGAACTATCCCAAGTAAGTAGATTTATTTACGGTATGTTTTCTGTGCTTTAGTTATGGAATTCTTTGCACTCACATATCTCATTTCAGAACACAGTAACTCACTACATGTACAACTACTATACAGTTGTTGTTATGGCTTGTAATTACCTCAAATTTAAATGCTTATACAACAAACCACCATATAAAGTACAAGCACCTTTAAAAACCATACATTACCGATAGCATATTATTTAGTAAGTAATATGAATTATTTAGTAACTACAGCAAAACTAATGGTACAAATGTGTACTATGAGTGGGAAGAATGTAAGTCTGGACCCACTGATGAGCTAAGTACCATAATCCATTGATAAAAAAAATATACTCTGTATGTAGAACCTTGACTAAGAGGTACTTCCTTTGCTAAGGTTTATTTTAGTGACCTGAGTTGGCAAGTGTAAACAGGCTAGCACCTTTTCCCCTTTGGAAGAGAAACTAAAAGGCCATATACTAAGTACACACTGTCCACTGAAAGTATAGCTTGAAGCCAGTAGATAATTATGGGCTTGAAACACTTAAAGCAAAAAGAAATCACAAATGCAGCTGCTTATCTGTCTTTAATCTATTTAATAGTTTGCTCATCTTTCTTACCATACCGTCGATTTGACCTTGTGGTATATAATATTGCTTAATACATTGTCGAGCAATTGATAGATAGATTTTAGTCATCACTACTTCACTGCTAGTGACAGCTTTCATATGGATAGATTACATTGCATGAAGGCTGTGTTTCCATTTCTTCTACTTCATTCCCATGGGCCACTAAAATGCCTCAGCAGCAGATGTTCTGCTCAAGCTGATTCATGACCACAGTCATATTTACTCACTCATATAGACACACAACCAAATAACACTGGCTCCACTGCACCGCTTTCATTGTGCTAGTGTGACAGTGTGAACCTGAACCATATGACCCCACTATGCCTCAAGGACCAGCAGTATTTTTTCCTGATGCAGTTTGCAGACACCTTAGCAGCTGCATTTTGAGATGCTAGGTGTTTTTGTAAATGGTTTAGGTTTGTCATAAGGACGTTTTACAGAGCCATCAGCTGAATCCATTAACACAGTGATATGACAAGCCTGCCAGACAGTGCTGCTTATCTTATGTCTCTCAGTGGACCATCCTGCTCATGACTGTCTACCTTCTACCTTCTTACTAAACACCAGCTCAGTGGCCGTCCTCAGAGAATGCATGAAAAATGAAAGCCTGGTGCGCTTCTTCCAGGAGAGGCAGGCAACTCTCTGCCACTCACTGCCACTAGAGACCTACCTGCTAAAACCTGTACAAAGGATCTTGAAGTACCACCTATTGCTGCAGGTAAGTGTATGGAAAGGGAGTTGTTTTACACTTGACTGTGCTCTTTCTAGCTTAGAGTTTGGGCATTAATCTCTAAGATTTACACAAATTCTGTAACTCCTACTTCATTGTCTGTTTAAGGTAGTTTCTGTGAAATATAGATTCTATCTAAAAGAGTTATAAAGCAACATAATAGGAAAGAGAAGCAAGAACCAGAATCGTGTGTTGTAGCTCTTGCATGTGCAGCCAGTAGTTTCAAGAGTGTAATCAATGTCTCCCCCTACTGACAGGAGCTGTCCAAGCACTTTGACAAGAGTGATTCAGGATATGAGATGGTGGAAGACGCCATCATCACCATGACAGCTGTGGCCTGGTACATTAACGACATGAAGCGGAAACAGGAACATGCAGTACGGCTCCAGGTGCAGGCAGAAATATTTTGTGTATTGTTTTTCAGAGCAAAATATAGTCATAAATAATATAAAAATCATAAATCATAAAAAACATTACGTTGTTTACAAATTACAGTACCATCTAAATGTTTGGTCTTTTTCGGTAATTAGAAGAAGAAAAAAATCTGTATCAGTATTACAAAGTCATTGCTTTTAATTCAGAACAGTTTAATACATCTGCAGATAAACAGTGTCCCTGGATTTTATGAAGCCATCTGTCAGATAGTAGTGAAGAATTGTTATTATCCGATAAGCCAGTCATGTTGCAGCAGCAGAATGTATAAAATCATGCATATACAGGTCAAGAGCTTTAGTTGTTTACCTGTATCTGCATGATTTTATGCATTGCACTTCTGCTACATGATTGGCTGATTGGATATTTATATGAAAGAGAAGGGGTACTATTAAAGTGATCAGTGAGTGTATATATCAAACAAATTACCACAAATACCAGTAAAAAGTAATAAACTAAACCAAGTCAATAATTAGCATGTCCACATTTGCCTTTTAACACCCACTTCTCGATTCTCTTAGGTCATATAATTTTATAAGGAAATCTGAAATCTTGTAGAACTTGCTGTAATCCTTTTATAAACTTTGACTCTCTCACTTCTGTTTCTCCAGGTGAAACCAGACAATCTTAATGACATTTTGATTTGAAATGTGCTCTGTAACTAAATGTCTTTCTTTATGTTTAATGTTACAGAGAAAATAATTTCTGGTAATATTTAATATTTGGTGGGCAAATACATTTTTATATAAGGTCTTTTCTACTGATACATTATACAATAAGAGATGCAGAAGAGACATAATTACCAAAAAGTTGCTTGAAATATATGTGCATAATGGGCAAAAAATTTTTTTAACTAGGCCAAACCCAAATGGCAAAATATTACGTTTTAAATCATCTTAACAACAAATCACTGGTCAGGAAATTAGCAAGAATATCAACAAATAGATAAATTAGCTTATTATGGGATAGCTTTCTGTCAGAGACTTCCCCTCACGCAGAAGGCGCAACAGCACGCACTTCTTGGGTTCATTGACATTGACTTTTTTTTAAATCTTACATCTGTATTTGTTATGGTTTTTATCCTGTCTTCACCGATACTGGATGTCCCCCACACGTGTTCTCATTAATCACAGCAGTTTTGTGTTACACCCATGATTATGTTTTTATTTATTTATTTAAACCCCTCATGTGTCTATGTTCGTCACAAAGTGTCTACAAGATACCAGGCCGGTTGTTCCTCATCTTGTTCATGGATTTTATCTAGTTCTCGTCCTCATTATTTGATTCTTGTCTTAGCTTAGTTTGTCCTGTTTGCCGTTCACCTGACCACGCCATTGATTGATTTGATCACGCCATTGTTTCACGTTTTGGATTTATCTGCCTGTTTCCTTAATGAAGCTCTTAATTGCACGTGAATTCTGCATCTCCTCCTTGGCTTACCGTGACACTTTTCCCTTTGGTGTCTCTACATGTTTAAGCCTTGTGGCCCTTGATGGTCTGCATGAATTGTGGCAGAATAGTAATGACTAACCTTTCAAGAAAAAAAAAACATCCCAGAAGATATTTTTGGAAGCTTTTATTCACCTAGGCATGTGTTAGTTTGAATTTTACATCAAACATTTAATGATTATCATGGTTTTACCTGTGTATACGTGAATTTCCCTGTCTCTAATTTTCTGACCAATGATTTGTTGTTCAGACCATTAAAAGCTTAATGTTTGCCATTTTGGTTCTGCCTTGGATTGTATGTAGCTTATGGAAACACACAATAGACACAAATACACACAATTAAGGCTAAAATTATTAGCATTGAAGTGTAACCTATCAAATTTGTCACATTCTGACAGGAGATTGAGAGTCTGTTGCTAAACTGGACTGGTCCTGATCTCAGCGGCTTTGGAGAGCTAGTTCTGGAAGGTTCCTTCCGGGTTCAGAGGGTTAAAAAAGAGAGGGCCTTCTTCCTCTTTGATAAAATGCTGCTTATTGCAAAAAAGAGGATGGAACATTTCATCTACAGCACACACATTTTTGTGAGTCATCAATGTTACAAAACACTTTGTCAATCTTTTGGTGTGCTGTAACGTTTGGATTACTTGTCCGGATATGAAGTGTTGTGAAAGTCTTGA